CGACGTTACAACTCCTGAGGATGATGTTGTAACGTCGAAACATGTAGAGTTGTCAACTTTTTGAAGGCCATAGATAGGCCTAAATAAAATGTTTTTAATTGTGTACCAGTTTAACGTTGAATATTATTTATGATTTTAACTGACAAGTCTGTATGAATGATAGTTTAAAAAAACATGAAATTGAAAACTGTTTGTTTCTTGAATTTCATGCTAAGCTACACAAGTGGTATCTGTGCTAGCCTCTCTACCTAATTTTGAACTGATAGACTAAAGGGAAGGCAGCAATTCAACACCACCCACTGTCAACCAAAAAAAAAATAAATTTGGCTATCACTCTTATAAGGCAATACATCCATGGCCACAATGTGCAAAGTGCAACTTTGTTTTTCACTTGAAAAAATAAAAATAATAAACACAAAGTAAAGAAAAATCTACAAAAAATTAACACTGAATTATCAATACTGTGAGAATATGGAAAATATAAAATATTCAGGGTGTAGATTAATGTAATTAAGTATGATTATGTTTGAGGTGGACTTTCACAAGGTTTCATAATATTCTCTTTCTGTTTTTCCTATTTGAAATTTGTTTATATACATGCATATCAGCTAAATCTATTTATAGTTTACTTCTTTTCTTTTTAAATTTTACTCAAAGCTACTTGAGAGCTATCTGTGCTAGCCATCCCTAACTGAGCAGTGATAGATTAGAGGGAAAGCAGCTAGTCAATACCATCCACCGCCAACTCTTGGGCTTCTCTTTTTACCAATAAATAGTGGGATTGACCATCACATTATAACACCCCATGGATGAAAGAGCAAGCATTTATCTATGGAAAGTCTAAATAAGTTGAACTGATCAGCAAGTAGAAAACACTTCAGGTGTTTACAGGTGATTTGACATTTTTTGAAATGTTCCCTACAGTAATTAGGGTTGGTTCACCAAACCATGAATAATAGTTTTTATACTACCTTAGATGATTTCGGATTTTATAGAGCCAAGATTCTTTACAGTAGGTTTCTGTAACTTGTTGGTAATAAATTTCAACAATAAATGGATGGTACACAATCCACTTGTTTTAAAATAATATGTTAAAAACAAGTAAAATGCATGTACAAAATTTCGTTACACTATTGGTTATCACAGTTGTGTCCAGACCTTTAAATAATAGTCTCTTTTTCATCAAAGTTCACACAGGTGAGTTTAATTACTGTATAACACCCTTTGAGAGGACAAATTAATCTCCTCTATTCCGTTATTACAATACAAGGCTGTGATACTCAGTTTAAAATAACTACTATAACTGTTGGCTACCACAGTTGTATCTAGAGCTTTAAATAATTGTCTCCTTTTCAAAGTCCACACAGTCTGGTTACTTTAAAACACCCTTTGAGAAAACAAATTATTCTCCTCTATCTCATGTTATTACAATAAAAGCTGTGAAACTCACTTTAGAAATCACCTGTTACAAATAATTCACACACACAGTCTAACTTCACTTTTATTTCCACTAACTTGGTCATCTGTATATATATATATTGCCCAACTGAGGCCTAGACCTTTCTACAAACTCCGAGAGTTTATGATGTAATAATACACACAGTTACATACGTAAACCTGCGATAAATTACTGCTCCTAAAAATAATAAATTTAACACTCACACTTTATAACTATCTAAGTTATAATTCACATATTAAACTTAAATTAAACAGTCATGTATATTTAACAGATTAACAGTGACACTTCTAAGGGTGTATCTTACATATTGTATATTTAATAACGCGTCTAGACTTCTTCATAACAGAAAAGTTTTCAAAAGGCTTCATAAGCCTGCACATATGTAAAAATTATTTCTGCTTAGTGAAAAATTAAACACGACTAACCTGTTTGATTAGTGCTCTTCTCTTCTCCTCAGCTTGCTCATCCTTGGCTTGGAGGTCTCGTTCATACTGTGACTTAAGAGCTTGCATGTTAACCTCGAGTCTCAACTTTGCATCCTCTGTCAGCTGGAGTTCATCTTCAAGTTCTTCAATCTGAGTTTTCTGTTCTGTCAACTGGCTCTCTAACACACGCTTTGCCTTCTCCAGTTCATGTACCTTGAAGAATTGAGTTATTTGGCATTTAATGAAAATGTTCCATTTAATGTTTTTAGGTTAAGAGGTTGTGGAAGAAAATGCTTTCTTGAAACTTAAAACCTAAAGAAATTAGTGAAAAGCACGGATATCTTCTAAATGTAGATACTTATTAATATTACAGTATTGACTGTTACCAGAAACTGAATATTATCAATATAGTTCACTAATACTTTCAAACAATGAGTTAAATAATTCATTCATAGTGTGTTATTCTAATTCTTTATAAGGACTTTTTGTTAGTTTTCACTGTAACACCTACCAAGTAGACCAAATGAAATATTTAATAATAATACTTCCCGTTTTATGTTTTTTTTTAATAGTAATTACATCACTTATCACATCTTTTTATCTTTTAATGAAACAAAATCCTTGTATTAGCTGCAAATACACATATAATGACAAATATTACTCCAAACTAAGCTAAAAAAAACTTACATTTTTATCAGCAGTGCCTTGGCTGTTCATTAACTCATCTAATTCTGACTGCAGCGTCTTACGAAGTCGTTCCTGTTCTTCCAACAGAACTTGCTTTTCTTCTAAATCACGAGTTAGAGATAAAATCTTTGTTTCCTTCTCTCTAGCTTCTCGTTCAGCATTGTCTCTCTCCTGTGCAATTGTCTCAGACACAGCCTTCTCTTCACCTAACATTTGATCAAACTTCCTCTGCTTTTTCTCAAGTTCTGACACTTTAGCTCTCTGGCTGTCCAATTCCACATTCAAATCTTCTACCTACAGACAAATAATAAAAATAGTTTTGACACTTTAGCTCTCTGGCTGTCCAATTCCACATTCAAATCTTCCACCTACAGACAAATAATAAAAATAGTTTTGACACTTTAGCTCTCTGGCTGTCCAATTACACATTCAAATTCTCTACCTACAGACAAATAATAAAAATGTATACCATTTATCACATTAACTAATTTGTTCTTCAGATCTATATTCACTGGTTATACAAATATTTACCAGAAGTGTAATTTATATTCAGTTTTCCACTTTAATTTATTGGTTCTCTAGCTCTATATTCTCTATTCATACAAAGAAACATTTCATGTATTTATAATCTATCAAACGCTTTAGCTTGTTTATTCTCCAACAACCATTTTCTGTATTCTCTGCTTCTTTTGAAGCTTTAAATCCATATTTAAATCTTTTCCTCACAAATAATTTATGTATTTTCTCTTCCATCCATTAAGCTAGATTGTTGGTTACCCTAGTTTTAAATTCTTTGCAGAGTAACAAATAATTAAACTATATCTTATCTATCACTTTAAGACTGTTGGTTACCCAGCTCTAAATTCTCTAGAGAAACAAATAGTTGATTTAAAATTGTCAGATTTAAAAAAAAAAAATATTATGTAAGTTCTTCTTTTTGCCAATTGTCCAAATAAATGGCTTTTACTTATATTTCTTAATAGTATAAGTATATACTATGTTGTTGTT